TCTAATTTTAATGAGATTTGGCACTGCACTCTTCAGAGTTTCAAGGTAAAATATGCTCCTAAATTAGTTATCATTTAAGCTGTATCTTGAGGATACATATATGTATATACAAGATTAGAGTTTTAGTATTATATTTCCATGAAGGACCCAACTTCTCACCCAGCTCCATCCAATTTAGCTCTACATTTATCAGTAAAAATTACTGTTAATATATTAGTCATCATGTACTTTGCCCAACTTAGATATTTATCTTTGTGGTATTAACTAAAAGGTGATAGCTTGGCTGAAGGCATGAAAACAACAAATATTTTAAATATTTTAAACACTAATTTCTTCAGATATTTTTTTTGCTGTTGAACATACTTTTTGGGATTCTCTCCCTTAACTTTTCTCAAATTTCTCTTTGTGACATTTTTGAAGCCATGTTTTTTTGTTTCCTGTCCTTGCCAATCTATTCAATTTCTCTTTTTCGACTCTTTTCTTCAAATTTTTGGTTATTTCCAACATTATGTTCCCATGACTTGACAACTTGACAATCTTGTTTCGCTTTTGTGGCTATATCTTTTTGACAACTGATAACAGCCTTTATATATGGGAAATTAAAAAATAAAAAGCAATATTATATTTATTTATTTTCAATATTATGAATAACTCTATAGTTGCATAATAAAATCACACACTACCTAACAAACTGGAAATATATATATTTTTAAAACTGATATTATACTGTATATACTCGTGGATAGGTCGCAATTTTTTACCAAAAATTTCACAAAAATATTAGTGGTGTGATCTATCCATTTCACATAAATGCAAAAAACAACACTAGCTTATCGTCATGATTTCTGAGAAATTGGAAATGATACCCAAACACTAAAGCTATGATTTTTCTCTGTATAGAAACAATTTATCATATATACTGACTCACTGCTTTAAACTTACCTCATGCTGCTATATCCATCACCATAAATAAAATTATAAAATATTTATTGATCTATCAGTCACCATTCGGTTGGGCCCCTCGTACTAGACTGATATAGAAACCCTGAACATGCATACATAAGTTAAGGAGCCACATGTAGATGCTTATTGACAAAAAATAGTCCCATGATTCATTCTGCAAAATATATATATTTTCTCAAAAATACGCTGGAAAATATGACTTAATGAAATATATTCTTTATGAGATAATTTCTTAAAAGGCATTCTTAAGTTTTATTTACAAATAACAAAACGCATGAATCTAGGACCAAAAACGTTTTCACTATTTTGCATTGCACAGTGATATAGTTGGTCGCCAAATTTATAGTTTATAATTTTAATTGTTGCAAACCCTAATCTTGAGTAAAAGAAAGAGTTATAAAGCAGGTTTTAAATTAAAAGTACTAAATTATGCAGAAGAACATGGAAATTGATCAGCAGAAATAAGAATGATGTTTGACAGTGAAGATAATGAAGATCTGAAGAAGAATTCTTTGGATTCAGTTCTGTATTAATTTTAAAACTGTAACTTGATATATAAATAGATAAACTCTTTTTTCTAAATGTACTGTAACATTTTCTTCTGTATTTATTTCTTTTTTTGTCAAATTGACTTGATATAAAAATAATATGTGGTAAATATAAAAATACAGGTACAACAGTTACTTCTTTACTTGTATGAGTAATGAAATATATTTTAATTGCAAAAGTGTATTAATAATTGTAAATTTTGAAATAAAGGTAGATATCTGATAATTCTTATGTTTAACAAGGGCTGTGTAACTCTCCAGATTATAGTGCAACTTATTTGTCAGTCAACAATAAATCATCAATTATTAAGCCATAAATTAAGGGTGTGACCTATTCAGTGGGGTGACCTATCTATGAGTACATACAGTAAGTTGAAATTCCCATGTTATATTTATCACATAAATATATCCTGAAAATATTGGTTTGGTAATACCAGTTTTATTGTGAAAACATTGACTTGCATATTAAAATCTGATAACTGTTGTAGAGAGTGGGAGAGCTATGATTTATTTTGTCAGCCCTAAGGTAGCAACACCTCTAACTATAGAAACATGAAGAAACACAAACATGGATTTATCGAAAAAAAATAAGAACTATTCATTTGGCGAAATACTGGCACTATGGAAAAGAAAAAGAAGTCCTTCTCAGAACAATCAGTTTGTTGCGGGAATGACAAGCGCTGGTCATAAATCACACGTATAAGGTTTTCAGGAACATATTTGATTTTAGTATTAGAAGCTTGTACTTTCAAATAAATCCAATTATCAATTGGCAGGGCTTAGTCCTCGTGTCAGATTCTTCTTCTGGGAGTAGTGTACGGTATTTTACAGTACTGATGTGTAGAGCAGATTTGTCATTCCTGATGCTTCTCTTTTATTGCTATACTGCTATCTGTTTAAATAGTGATTCTCCTCTGCTTATATCGGTAAGGATAGGCTCAAATTGAACACAATTTTAGATTTTCGATCTTCCGTTTGATTGGCTAACATTGAATCCTTAATTCTGATTTGTTGGTTTTGTTATTTTACTGAAACTACATCTGAGTACTGTTTACATTACAGCATTTAAATGTCTAAGTTAAGTATTGCTTTAATCCTGGTTACATCTGACCGTGCATGGAAAAATAACTTTTAGGTTTTGTGAGATTCAACACTGCATACATTTTAACATGGTTTGCATATATATATATATATATATATATATATATATATATATATATATATATATATATATTGCATCATTAATTCCTAACTACTGTCAATTCCTTTTTCAAGATTTTTTTTATTACTTTCACCATGAATGTAAAAACATTTTTTTTAGTCATTTCACCACAGATGAGGGGATAATGCCACTAGAACACAGGGGGTTACAGGGAGTGAAAGAGAATGAGAAAATTTTAGTGGGGAGGAGTGAGGAAAAGACAATAAAGGAACTGAATTCAGGAAGATGATGACAATTGACATTGCATTTAAAATTTTAAAGATTATAGGTGACAGGAAAGCAAGAAATCGGAAAGGAGTTACACAGGTGAGAAGCGTGAGAAAAGAAACTGTTAGAATAGCTTGCTAAAACATTCCCAGTATAAGAATTGCAAAATTTTGTTTTTCATCTGCTTTTTTTTTTTTTGTATTACTCAAATTTAATTCAGAAAATGACTAAAGTGATGCATGCTAATGGTGGAGTAGCAGTAAAGTCAGTGGATTATAATAAAAAAAAATGGAAACTTTGCCTTCATGATCAAATGCAGTTTGCACTAAAATAATTATTTTATTTTAGTCTCTCTACAGCCAGAATTTAAAATTCATATATATTGAAAGTAGGAGGTTAGCATCAGCCATGCCAATGAAAGGCAGAAAGGGTTCTCTCAGGCGATTAATAGAGAGCAGTTTTGTTTTGGAAGTGTTTAAATTAACAAGCCATTCCTTGCCCCAGTTAACAATATATGTTATTTTTCAGATGAGCTGCTAATTTAACCATAAGTAAAATTCATCATATCTTCTATAGTTATTTTTGTTTTGTGAGAATACTTGTTATTTTTATGCAAATTCAGTAAGATGCATTTTTGGTGCAAGATCCAATGATTGGCATTTGATTTTTTTTTTTAATTGATTTTGTTTTTTATGGTTTATCAACTTTTTTCAAATTTATTTTTTTAGACTGTAGGAATTTTTTGGAAATAATAATTTACTGATATAACTCTTACTAATTAACCCATAGCTGGGGGGAGAAGAGCTGGATTCATACCTTTCCTAAGGGTATTTGCACATAAGTTAATATAATTCGACTGGAATTGGATCTCCAATTTCTGATTCTGAGCCATTATTCATTATACCATTTGCACATCCAAGCCTTCAGCTCCTGGTATTCTCAAGTAATCACCCATCTAGCTATTGACCAGTCTTGATGTTGCTTAACTTCAGAGATTGTGTGGGAATGAGTGACATTTGTTTTGACTTATCTTTTTTCTCCCCTAATTTATTTTTCTGCGTGTCTTTGTCAGTGACATTAAAAACTCTGAAACTACCGTTTACTCTTCCTGAAATTTAATATGTAGACTTAACATTTTTGTTTTTCATGTTGCCATTCATACTTTTTAAAAAGTAGTTCTGCTCAATTACAGTAAGAGTAAAGGTTATCTCCTTCTGATCCGAACTGAAATGGATTTCAAGTTCAAATAAATGGATTGCTTACCTTCTGGCTTTATAATATTTGTTTTATTTTCATCATCATCTGTTGCCTTAAAAAAAAAAATATATATATATATATATCATGGCTAATGATGGTTCTAAAATCTATTCTAACCTCGGCAATGCCAGGTAATCTTACAAGCTTAAAATATTTTTATCATAACAAATTAAGTAAATGAATGACTGCTGTTGCTAAAACCAGTAGAATTTGACAGCTATGTCAATAGAAAGGTATATTAACATGTTTAGCTTGATTGGTGAATATGTAATTTAATAAATTGATTAGTGATTAATTAACTGTCTTGGTAGTGCTTAAGGAGGTTTATTAGCAATTACCTGGGAGTCTGCGGGTTGATTAAAAGATAGCCGAATAGTTTGGTGAGTGGATCAGTTGCCGATAGACAAATAGTCAGAAGTGAACAAATGTAAACATATTGGTTGAGGAATGTAAATGTAGCATTTTTAAGGATTAAATTTTCTTTTTGCTTGTGCCTGTGATGTTTAAAAACATGAAAATGAAATTGCATTGACATGAAAATTTTATATCGAGTATAAGCAAATTTTTAAAAAAAATTTTCAATAGAAAAAAAAATGATACTTTGATCTTTACAAAAAACAAAGAATATATATATATATATATATATATATATATATGTTCTCTCATTCCTTTTCTTTATTTGCTTTATATATTGGCTTCCTTCTCTTTATTCATTCTCTCTCTTCTGTCATTCACCTTGACTTTATTCATTTCTCTCTCTTGCTATTCATTCACTCTCTTCATTCACTCTTTCTCTTATTCAGTCTTTATTCTCTCTCTCATTCTCATTCACCCACTCTGTCTTCTATATTCACCCACTCTCTCTCTCTCTCTCTTCTGTCATTCTTTTCTCATATTATGTTCAAAAAGTGCAAAATTTGATGATCAATTCTGCCAACACTAGTTTAAAATGAAGCTAAAACCTGGACAGTGTTTTGAAGACAGATTTTCCTTTTTATATATTCTCACTGAATGATGATGTCATGTCAGCCATGATTGTTTTAAAAATAAATCTTAATTTAATTCAATGAATTTATTGTATTGGACAATCATAAAATGTTGATTAAATGACTGGTTAACTCAAAAACTATTGGTTAATTGAGCCTATGCATGTTCATACATGTTTCTATTATAAAACCATAAAAAATAGTATTTGCAAAGTAAAACTATTTATATGTTGTCGTTTCTTTGTTATTTTCTTGTTGACATGCACCGTAGAAAGAAAAATTGATATTGTTTGGACCAAGAGAAATGAACCAAAAAACAAAACAAATGCATTTGTATTGGTAATTGTTGGTATCTTCACTTCCAGCTTGATGAAAAGAAATCTACCTTAAGTTAATTTGTCGATTTAAGTTAAAGCCAGAAGGCTATAAAAAGAATTTTTAGTAACAAAAAAAGAAGACATCACTTTTTCTTCATTTCTTAAATAGGAAATATGATAAAATGTGTTGTTGTTTGAAGTGGGAATAATAATTATAGAATTTTAAATAATTATAGAATTTTTGTGTCCTCAAGGACACATGGCCCAGTGAATAAAGACATTGGTTAGATCCAGTGACTAGATCCAAAGAGTTGTGAGTTCAATACTAGGCCACAGCAGTGGTGAACCAAAAACTTGGAAAGTTGAGTTAAAGGGAAATAACTGAGACATCTGGAAGAGACATGGCACGTGGAACTAGAACAATCTACTCCAGTGGACGAAATAAAAGGGTTTGGTTTGAAAAGAAATCTGGTGCGCACAATGGCCAAAACATTGTGAATATGGCAATGAAGATGAGGATAACAGTGTGAATAATGTAATAGAATTTTGAGTCAATAAAAAATTTTTATTTTTTTTTTTTTTTTTTTTGGCAGGGGTCCCTCCAAATAAGAATTGAAGGAGGTTTCTGGTGATTCTGCAAAAAAAAAAAAAAAAAGTTTTTTTTTTTTTTTTTAATTTAACATGAAGAAATTTGTTACATACAGAATTGCACACTTGCTAACAAAATTAACATTGATAATGGTAAAAACTTTGATGATATCTGGTTCATAAATATATCTCTAAGTTGAAGCATCTACTTCTCCTTGTCTTAGGAGACTAGTTTATCAATAACTGATGACCATATTTAAGTAATTTTGCATTTGTATTGGTTGGTTGTATTTTCTATATGGATAATCTAGGATTTTTATCATTACAATTGTTGCATATAAGAAAGAATTCAGCATTTTATGCCACTAAAAGTAAAAATATCTAAAGAAATTTAACACAAAAGAAAAGAATAAAAGAATATATTACCAATTTAGTCTCACTAGTTAAGATATTGAGTTGATGTGGTAACAGGGTAATGTTTACTTTGAGTGGTGCCAAATGATGCTCTGTTACCACAATAATGGAATATCTCATTGTAGGAAGTGAAACTAAATTGTGTTACTGATAAATATGTAGTCACTATGGTTTTTATATAATAAAATAATAACAATAGTTATATGCTTCCAAGTTTGTTAGGATATCTAGCTAATCCCTTTTTCAAACTACTGCTGAGGGACATTTGTGTTTCTTCTCTACCTACATAATCAACTTGTGGTTTATACTGCACCTACACAGAGAAGACCTTAGTTACAGGCATCTGGGTGGGAGAGAGCACACAATCTGGTATTATCAATACCTGAACAAGGCAGAGTGTGGTCATGATGACTTTTCATTCTAGCACAGCTGGCTGCTGAACAATTTTGTCAATCAACTTGTGGTATGATTTTCAGCCCCTTCTCAATAGTGCCACACCCTGGTATCATCTCCCTGTACTAATATAATCAAAAAGTCACTTCTTTGACAAATCAACCATGGTGAGATTTGAACCCAGGTTTCATGGTTGGAATGCTAGTACTCTAACCACTCTGCTATGTGCTTATATATATGATTTCCTTAGAAAATATCAATATACCAACATTTGAAATTTGATTGATTTGGTTTTTTTTTATGACTTATCAACCGTTTATAGGTTATTTAAAGCCAGAACATATTTTTGGATTGTAATAATTTTTGGGGGATAATGATTTTTTTTTTATAAAACTACTATTTGAGCTATAGACTAAATAGTAGGGCTGGAAGAGAAGATGAATTCATGCCTTTACCAAGGGTATTTGTGCATACGTGAATATAATGAACCTAACTGGAATTGGAACTCAACTCTCCAATTTCTCATTCCAAGTCACTGAAATATCCAAGCTTACAGAACCTGGTAATCCGAAGAGGGCACTGACCAGACTCAACATTGCTTAACTTTGGTGATCAAATGAAAACCAGTGTTCCAACATGATATGGTTGTAAGTCTTATGAAATTTGATAAATAAGTAGGTTTTTGATTTATTGCTTTGAGATGTAAAAAAATGACATTTGTAGATAAGATCTTTAAAATCAAACTATTCTATGGACAATATGGAGGAATGTGGCACTTTTTGGTAACTTTACTATTTTGGAAATTATTTTTGAGAATCATTTGTGAAATTTACTGTTGTTTATGTTTACAGTGAATTTTTTGTGAAGTCTTTGTCTTTATCGAAATAGTCAATTGATATTATTATGATGGTAATTTGTTAAAAAAAAATCAAATCAAATAAGTATTTTATAAAAACATCAAGATCTTTTTGTAGTAAAAATCAAGCAATGACTTAAAAAAAAAAACAAATGCTGCCTGCAAAAAGTTTGATCTGATCTGTATAATTTACAGATCTTTGATTTTTGATTGTTTAACTGAAAAGAGAAAGAAAAGAATGAACCGATTCCAGAAAACTTTCTGCTTTAACACTGCCCTCTTTTTCTTTGGCATCATTTCCATTCCTCTATCTTTGAGTGCCCAATCAATATATTTAGTTTCCTTATTCTGTTCTTTGTTCTTTGCCACAAACAGGAACAGTATTTTTTTCTTTTCTACAAATCTTTCCTGTCTGTTGATTGTAACAAAATGATAAACTCATCAGTGGGTCATTTTCTGGTTGGGTTTAATGATTTTATTAGAACGAATACAAAAAAACAGAAAATAAACATTACAGCAATCTCCTATTTACATCGATATTTTAGATTTGCCTTTTCAAGATCTTGATTTTCACTAATAATATCTTTTTTTTCCATTATTAGTTAAAAATTTTCTGTAATGTCTCATTGAATCTGAAGAAAATAAACCAACAAACTTTATAGGCATAAAAAAGTAAAACTTAAAATAATTCTTTATTGTTTTTGTTTTCATATACCTGTGGAAAACAATATATAATTTTTTTATATATAAAGAACAATTTTAGGGAAATCTATGACAAAGTGAAAAAAAATTTTGTATAACGCATTTCATCCTTTTGTCCAATGAAGTCTCAAAGGATGAAACACTTCACATCAAAACATTTTCCACTTTGTTATAGATTTCCATAAAATTGTTCTTGATATATATATATATATATATATATATATATATATATATAAATAACAATAACTGATCTTGCTACCTATAATGTACCAATGACCAACATATATGAATTGTTGAACTCTAACCAAACCCACATGGACTGAAGATTGCATTCAAGCATGAAACAGATTTTCCCCACTCAGTGCTGGCATGAGTGCCCACACTTTTATATATATATATATATATATATATATATATATATATATATTATATATATATATATATATATATATATATATATATATATATATATGAAATGAGAATGAATCGGATATAAATTCCAACATTCATAACCCTAATTCAAAAGAGAGCTCAATACAATCCAATAGTAGAGCAATATTCTTTATTATGGGATATTACATTCAAACATGTAGAAAACTGCTACATAAATGCACTCATGTTTTGATGTGTTTTATCACATCTCATCAAGTGTTGGTGAATGACCGATTAAGACAATTATTAGGATTTACTTACAAACAACCTCTTTTCCTGTGAAAGAAAAAGAGCAAGAGAGAAAGACAGAAGATATAATCTCTTTTATAGAGAAAAAGAAGAGAAAAAAGAAAATATAAGGAAAGTATAGAATTGTAAAGTTGGAAGACACGTTATATTTATAATCGGTTCAACCAATCAAAATAGATTATGCGAAGTAAGAGGTCATGAAACACAGATTTAAAATTGCAATGAATACAGACATATTTGAAACAAAAGTTTGCTACAATGTTGACGTCCAATGGCTGATATTTCCTATGAGGAAGAAAACATAATTTAACAATACTTTAGAGTAGATAAATAATATGGCTTTTTAAGAAATAAAAGAAGGTAAAGGAAAGAAAAAATATTTAACAAAATAATGAAAGCTTAAAAATTAAACAAAATATTTAAATAAATGGAGTAAACAAAACTTTTAGCATATAGATCATATTTTTACACTTACAGCACACACACACACACACACACACATATATATATATATATATATATATATATATAGGATTAATACAAATAAAATTTGCCACTAAGCTGATTGGTGTTATATCCAGCACCTTGAATGTGGTGTTTAGTAGACGAACATTTTTGTTTTCATTCTGTCCACTTGTCAGGAGGTGCTGGCAATTGTTGCTATACAAAAAACATGCCATGTACTGATTTTTGTCATATCTACATTGTTAGATTTTATTATGCAAGTCAATGTTTTCAGAATAAAATTGGTACTAACCAACTTATTTTGATAAAATGTTCAGTATATATTTATACGAGCAATATATTGTGTAGCTTTCAGCTTTTAATGTCTATTTTTATTAAATATATATTGCTCACTTGTTTTTTTTTTTTTTTTTTGTCTGTCAAATTTTATCAAGTAAACAAAGTGTAAGATAAAGTTTTCTTCAGAAATAAGCCAAAAAAGAAAAGATATATTTGATTAACACAATATTTCAAATATCT